TGGCAGGCCCAGGCTGGATTTGAACCCGCCACCTTAGGTGTATGTGGCTGGCGCCTTAGCCACTTGAGCCACAGGCGCTGAGCCTGGATTCTGGAACATTCTAATGGAGTTGAGGCTTCATAAAGGACTAGAATTGGAATAGTATAAGTACAGGCTGGTGCTGTCAGTTTTTCTCTCTAGGGAAAAGCTGGGGGCCTGGCCCTATCCCTGCTTCTCCCTGGGTATCTGCTTCATTTTCCTTTTCTGCTGATCAGATTTTTCTACCCTATGTTCATTGAAGAAGGTTAGCTACCCCCAAATGTCAGTTGTAGTTTTTGAATTTACATGTCCTCTGGACTCAAAGTAATAGAAATCTACTAGCAACTGATTTCCAATTACAAGTTTCTAGAAGACAGAATTTTGTTGACTCAGCCTGAGTGTGGTATCTGCCTTTGTTCCCTGCCTTTGTTACATAGAACCCATTCTTATAGAGGGGCAGGTATTTCTGAGAGTGGGGAGCACAGGCTTAGCAGATATCCACATGGTGGCTAGTGAATCAGCATTTACTGAAGGCCTGCTATTTGCCATACACTGTGCTAGTCTATTTCCATCAGTAATTTAAAAGTCTCCCAACAGTCCTATGAAATAATTATTAGATGATGAATTTGCAGAGAAGGAAACGTCACCCTTTCATTCAACTGTATGCACACCTAATTGAGTCTGTCACTGTGCTAGGGGCTCAGTGCACACTGAGACGTGATCCCTAACCTTAAGGCACTTAGAATCAATTGAAGTAGGGATACAATACATAAGCAAACCCTGAAGGGCTAGAAAGGAAATGAACAGAACACAGTGACCACAGTGGGAAAAAACTTCCTTTGGACGAGTAGGGCACACCTCTCTGAGAAGGTGACATTTAAGCAGGCAACTGCAGGTTAAACAAAAGCCAGCCATGTGTGAGGGAGAAAAGAACATTCCAGGCAGAAGGAACAGTGTGTGTGGGAGCCCCACGGTAAGGAAGAACTTGATATTAGGATAGGGTGACCAGATTTTAACATCTGTAAGGCGGGACAACATGGCTGGGGGGTGGAGCCGGGGCGGAGCGGGGGCGGAGCCAGGGCACGGGGCAGCGGACCGCGCAGGGCAGGGCCCGACAACAATGCAAACTTTGATAAGTAGTTCTCTATAATCACTTCTCAGCAATTATTTATTACAGTTTAACATTATAAAATTAACAAAAATAATATTAAACTCACATTCTGGCGAAATAGCCATATGGCGGCCAAAAACCTTATATTCCCTTCTTGTTCTCCAGCCCGTTCGTGCATTCTTTCCAAAAATTGGGACTTTTTTAAAACGCCACGGGATGCGGGACAAATTGTTGAAAAGCGGTACTGTCCCGCCAAAATCGGGACGTCTGGTCACCTTATATTAGGATCACCTAACCAGTAAGGAAAAAACTGAGATTTGAAGCCAAGTTCTCTTGCTTACAGCATCTTGACAACAGTGGAGGAAGATGGGTAGGGTGGCTCCCTTTTGAAGTGTTACTGAAAATATCATTTCTAATGATTAAAGTTCTAAAGTTTTACTAAAAAAAAAAAAAAGACTGAATATCTGATATTTCTCCACTTTAGTCTGGAAGAATCTCTAAGACAGGAAAGAAGCATGTGCACAAAGGATGTGATTGTTTTAGACTTTCAAAAAGGCTGGCAAGATTTTAAATCAATGACTGCAAAGTTACAGTGAAATCTTCCATTAAGGAGCTCTTTCCACCTTTCAAAGCACTTTCATGCTCATGACACGATTCTTGCAGTCTATAAAACAGTCCTGCAAAGAGGACTCAGACTCAACAAATGCTTACATAGTGCTTATGCAATTGTCAAAGAGAATCTATTTTTATCCCATGTAACAATACGGTATAGAAATGGTTTGCTTTTATGTCATGACAGAAAAGAAAAAGAAAGAGTCAAGATGTTTTCTCTTCTGATACTTAATTCATGTAGAATGCAACTATCCAGCTTCTTTACCTTGCTGGTTTGTTTCAAATGGTCCAATATTGTTGGATTAGTAATGTCAAACCTTGCTGCTAATTCATGTGTAGGTTGAAAAGGATTCACTTCCACAGCTCTCAGCTCATCATTATCTAAGTGGTCTCAGGTCACTCACATGGCTTGTTTTCAAGATTCAAATTGCCAGAATGAAATTTCTCAAACCATCCAAATGCTGTGTGTTCATTAGCCACATCCTCCTCAAACACTGCGTTGATATTCTGAGCTGTCTGTGCTGCAACAATATTGGATCATTTGAAACAAACTGGCATGGTAAAGAAGCTGGATAGGTGGGTTCTGTATGAATTAAGTATCAGAAGAGAAATCATCTCAAATCTTGCCTTTCTTTATTGTCATGACATAAAGGCAAACCATTTCTATACCGTATTGTTACGTGTGATGAAAATGGATTCTTTTTGACAATTGCAAACATTCGGCACAATGTTTAGATAAAGATGAAGTGCTGAAACATAGCCCCAAGCCAAATATTCATCAAAAAAGTTAATGATATCTGTTTAGTGATCCAGCACCGGTATTATTCGCTACAGCTTCATGAGACCTAGTCAATTGAGTATAATGGTTGTCTACTGCAACTAATTGGATGAAGTGATGAGGATGTTTGCAATTAAGCAACTGAGATTGGCCAATAGAAACAGGCCAATCCTCTTGCAAGACAACTCTCGATTACACGTTGCACAAACAGTGGGTTTCAAACTACAGATACTGGACTTGGAAACTCTTTGTCATCCTCTGTATTCACCAGACCTTGCACCAACCGACTCCCACTTCTTCTAGGCTTTGGAACACTTTTAGCAAGGAAAAATATTCAATTCTCAATAAGCGATGAAAAACACTTCTCACTGTTTCATTAC